GAAGCCTCATCATTCTTGCCTCCAAAGAACACTTTGGCTGCACCCTCTCCAAGTCATATCTGTTCTCTTGGCCGTCCATGGCATGTTCAGTTCTCTTCTCCAACACTGCAGCTCAAAGGCGTCAATTCTTTCTCTGTCATCCTTCCTTATTCACTGTCCACTCTGAGATGCATAGCAAGTGATCAGAAAGACCATGACCTGAATCAGCCCTCATGATTTACAACCTTTGAAAACCTGCTGGAGTTTCAGCTATGCATCAGTTCCAATGCCATGGCGATGAGAGGAAGAGTGGATCTCTCTGTCCTTTTTTACCTTTCTTTTTTTATCTCCTTTCCTCTCCCCATGTCTACAAAGGATTCCTTAACCATGTGACTTTCCTCTTCAGGGTCAACTCCACAGGCAATGTGCTGGTCTTTTTTGATCTGGCCTTTCCCCCTTCTCTACTTTCTGTCATCCAAATCCACAGCCCTGGAGCAAATTCTGACTCATCTGTTCCCAACAGGACAGAGCAGAATTGCCCTATAGGATTTTGAAGGTGTGTCTGATCCAAGTCATGGTATCAATCGCTTCCTATGCTTCTGAAAGTTGAATAATAAACAAAGATGACAGAAGAAGAATCAAAACCTTTGAATTGTGGTTTTGGAGAAGGGTACTGAATATCCCACAGACTAACAAATTTGTCTTGGAGAAAGTGCAACCAGGGTGCTCCTTGGAAGCAAGGAGAGTGAAACTGCCTCATCTATTTTGGCATGTTGTCAAGGGGGACCAGTCTTTGGAAAAAGACATCATCCTGGAAAAGGTATAAGGTCAAAGATTTTTCCTTCACACACGTAACAATTTCCTGCATTAAATTATCTTGGTTTGAAATGCCTAGACTGGTTTCTGACCTTTTTCTAATAGGGCCTTGACGTAATTTTTGTTGAGTGCAATTGAGTTGATTCTCAAAGAATCATCTCATAGGATTTTCTTACCTGGCATCTTTCTAGGAACAGATTGTGGGCCTTTCCCCCATGAAACCTGATTGAAATAAAGCTAGCAAACCCCCTCATTCTTGTGGGGTCAGAATCAACTCACACATGATCTTCCAAAGGGTTTTCAGAGGCCATAAATTGCATTGGAGAAGATTTCCCATCTTTCTCTCACAGAGTCACAAGTGGGCTTCAACAACCAGAGAAGCACCACTTTTAAATTAGTGAACTTTCCTAAAGACTATAGCTGAAATAAGCTCAAAATAATAATAAGTAGCATCATTCCAGGTTAACAGTTCTCTGGAGCACTCATGACCTAGTGGTATGAAGCTGTGCTGCAATCCCAAAGGCAAGTAGTTGGCATCTGCAGGAGGATGGGCAGTTTCCTTCCATGAGATTTCCTGCCTCTGAAAAGCCACTGGAGGAGGGTCAGTGGCCAGTCACTTCCCCCTCAACAGCACACTGTAACAAAAAGCATAGAATGTTGCGATGCAGTAATTTAGTCTATGTTCCTTTTGGATTTTCAATCACATGCTAAACTTTATAAGAAGTCCCGGGTGCAGTGCTCAGCTGCCCAGGTGCCAACCAAGAAGCTGATAATTTGAATCCAACTTGCACTCTCTAGGAAAGAGTGGCATCTGCTTCTGTGAATATTTGCAGTCTTGGAAGTCCTGGAAAGATTTTATAATCTGCTCTATGGGGTCTTTGTGAGTCAGAAGTAACTCTATGGCACAGGGTTTGGTTTTGATAAAGCTTGTAAAGTAAAAACGCAGTGACAATGGTAAGTACGGGATTCACATGAAATCGGGGATCCTAGGAGAACCTCTGGTCACTTGGGCGTCTTGTTATCTGTGTTTACCCCAACATGGAGAGAAGCATCTTCTGTCCTCGCCCTCACCAGCATGGGCTTTACAGCAGCGTGCTCCTTGACAGCTGTCAGGGACTTTCTCTGTCATCCCCATGCACGTGGGCATGTCCCATTTGCTTTGCACCAGGCCCTCGTGACTCACAATAATGTCGTTTTGATCACTGTGTTCCTTCATCTTGAATCTCACCTGGTGGTAACCAACCCCTGTTTATGGAAATATTTGTTATGGAGCAGTGGTTTGTAGCACTTAATGATCAAGGGCCTTTTGAAGAATCCAAGGGCTGGTCTGAATTTCCTCCCCAGAGTAATCTGCATGTGTACTGCGACTGTGACCAAGCCTGTGTTCTTTCACATGAGCACATGTCACATACAGACTATCTGTCCTTTGCCTGGTGACCTCAGTGCTCACAAACTGTGCTTTTACACATAGCTCATCTTCTTCCCATTCCTTCCCTTTTAAGTGATGACTTTCACTTCATGATAGGAAATCTATTACACACAGTTTGGAAAGATGTTTCCTTATTTTGAACTTACCCTTAGACAGCTGGTTCCACATCTTATTTGTGTTACAAGATTTATTTCTCTGATAGTGATATTAAATGTTGCTGCAGATGAAACAGTACTTGCCTCCTGCTACTTCAGGAAATCCCTGTTACTTGCTGGCACCACATGAGATAGAGCTTTGTGATGGGGACAGAGATTTATGGAGTGTTATTGCTGAATATATATGTCTGCTGCTCTCCTGAGGTGAAAGACCCATGACAGGGGCTTCCATCTGGGGATTGATTGGAGGCCCACTGCAATGTGTTTGCTGGAGTAAGTCATGGCAGATGCCGCCTATCTCAAGCCCCATTATCCCCTGTGGGCTCCAGAAGTGGATAATTTTGCTCATTCTTTTGATCTTTGCTGTGACTTGTCAGGGACAGAATTCGAGTTCATAACTCCAAGAAGTGCTCAGCTGTGAAATAAGTACTGAAAAGATGAAATGCAGTTCACCCTAACCCATCATGATCATTCGATCACACATAAGCCAGGAAACAAGTATTGAAAGTGGCCCTATAAATCTCCCTTTTGAGTTTAAGATTGTTGTTGTTGTTGTTGTTATGTGCCGTCGAGTCGCTTGCGACTCATAGCGACCCTATGTACAACAGCCAAAAACTCCGCTCTGTCCTGTGCCAATCGCACTGTCTCTGACACTCCCATCCCAATTATCCCAGTCACTGAGGATTAAATTGGGAGCAGGTAGATTAGGGTGTTCTGAAATGGGGGGGAAACATTGTGAGGCACGTAAGAGGAGCTGGATGGGATCGGCCTAGGGGATCTGCTTCTGCAGAAGTGAGAAAGCTTTAGTGTCAAGACATGAGTGTACACAAAAACTAGACATGAGCAAGTCCAAGTGCACTGCCCTAGAGTCAACTCTGACTCCTAGCTGCGCTTCATCATATTTCCAATGTCATAAACCTTTATGGGAAGAGACTGCTGAATCTTTCTCCTGAGGAGCAGTTGGGGAATTTGAACGGATGACTTTTTAATTAGCAGCCCATCACAGGCATGTGAAAGGGAGTTGAGAAAGAAGAGAAAAATCATAGACTAAGCTTTCAAAACACTTGGCTGGTGAGACCAATAACATTTAAGACTCAGTCTTCCCCCCACCCCTGGCCCCCAATAAACATTAAATTCCATTTCACCACCTCAAAATGTTCCCTAAGGATGGGTTCCTTCTCTCTGAGGATAACTGGCCAATCTTCTAAATACTTCAACCACCAAGTTTTCCCAATTTTACTTACTTTAATTTACATAATGAATACATTTCCATCCCTCACCTAAGTATTTGTAATGTAGCATAAATTATCACCAGCCACCCAGACTTGATATGCCATGCCACCCATTGATGTTACTTATACAGAGTTCAAATAAACAATGGAGCACAGTGCCAGTGGCTGGCAAATGGAGCTGTTAGGTGCCATCTAAGTTATAGCTGGACGGGAGTTATAACCAGAAGTTAGTTATAACTGGAAGGGCTGGCGAAGGGAGTTGTTGTTGTTAGGTTATAACTGGAAGGGAATATAACCATTACATTTCAGGACTGATTTCAAAGCTAATGAGTCGTGGAGAAACTGTCGAAAGGAATCCATGTAGCACTACAGTGTCTGCAAAAGCAACTAACCTAGTAAACAAACAAAACAAGCATACCGCCATCAAGTCAGTTCCAGTTCACAATGACCCTTTTATTGGGTTTCCAAGGCAACTGTCAAGGACCTGTCCAAAGAATTAAAGAGTAAAGGTGTCAATTCGAAGGTGCATCTGATCAAAGTCATAGTATTTTCAATATGCATCTGAAAGCTGGACAGTGAATAATTTCTCTGTCTTTGAACTGTCGTGTTGGAGAAGAGTAGTGACTAACCCATGATACACTAACCCAAGAGTAATGACTGGCGAAAGAACAAACTAGTCTGTGTTTGAGGAAGTGCAGTTAGGGTGCTCTTGAGAGACAAGGTTGCTGATATTTGGTCTCATATATATAGTGAATGTTGACAGGAAGGGCTTGTCTTTGGAAAAGACATTGTGCTGGAAAAGTGGAGAGTCAGGTAAGAGAGGAAGGCCCTCAACAAGGTGGATTGACATAGTGAATGAAGGTTCAGGCATCTCAAAGATGATGAGGAGGCCACAGGATAGAACAAGGTTCAGACCTGTTGTTCATAGGTTCGCTAGGAGTCGCAGTCAACTTGTAGCACAACAAGCACTGTCGTTAGATTTCCAAGGCGATAAACCTCGACCAGAAAAGACTGTCCATCTTTTCCCCTGGTAGATTCAAACTGCTGATTGTTCTATTAACAACATATTTTATGAAATATGTTTTCAGGGCTAGGATTTGAAGATTCCATATTTAAGTCCTCACAAATGTATACTGAGCTAGCTGGTTTTGAGGGCTCTGACTGTATCTATGGGAACCCTGATGGTGTAGTCCTTAGCGAGTTGTGCCGCTAACCCAAATATGGAACCTCTCTGGTGGTTCAAATCCACCAGCAGCTTTGTGGGAGAAGGATGGCCAATCTCCCAGTGCAATTTACAGCTTGGGAAACCCAATGGAGGGTCAATTATGAGTGTGATCCAACTTGACAGCCATGAGTTTGTCAATGAGCTTGAGTTGAGCATTTTTTAAGGGAGCGCTGGTGGACTAACTTGGAGGGAATTGTGCCGCCTACCCACAGGTGAACAGTTTCTATCTACCAGCTGTTTTTCTAAAGCTTTTTCAAAGATGGAAAAACTCCTCCAATCTGGTTTAAGGCCTCTGAAAAGCCACTGGAAGGTAAGCTATGGGTTGGCTCTGACTCAGTGGGGGTTTTTGAGAGCTTTATCTAAAAGCTTTGCTTTTCCCTCTCGTTTGCAGTAAAATAAGACTATCATATTGACCCCAGGATCTTTGTTGTGTCTTTCTAGTCAGATTATATCTTTCCACCTCATGTGTACATTTCCTCATAGCTCACTACCTTCAGGTACAGGGCTTTATGAAGTAGACAGATGGATCATTTTTGTAAAAGCGTGAGGTAAAGAAACCAAGGACCTTGGATCAAAGCAAGTGTGTTATGTAGGTCCTTCCCCAGTCCTCACCCAAATTGAGCTGGTTTTCAGATTTGCTACATTTTAATGCACTCTGAGGGAAAATACTGACAAGAACGGAAGAGAAAAAAGGTGAACAAAAAGTATGTGAACAATCTCTCTCTCTCTTTTTTTTTTCTAAGATTATTTCAGGGTGCATGCAGTTCAAATCCACCAGCTGCTCTAGGAAGAAGAATGGGCAATCTACTCCTGAGTGATTAACTGCATCTGAAAAACTGCTGGAGGGTCAGCTACAGGGTGATTCCAATTCAACAGCACACAATAATAAGATTGTATCAGGGTAATTTACAGGTCACATTTTTTTTGTCCAAGGCTGATCTTTCCTAATTATAAAGATAATTCATATCTATTATTACAAACAATTGACAATTATATAAAAAAATTAAATCCCAAGACAACAGGAGACATGGTTAAAATGATAACAAGGCACTTTCTTTAATAGTTTATTAAATCCATCAGAAGAGAGAGAGAGAGAAAGAAGGAGGAGGAGGAGGAGGAGGAAGAAGAGGAGAGAGGGGAGGGGAGGCGAAGGGAGGGGAGAGGAGAGGAGAAGAGAAGGAGAGGAGAGGAGAAGAGGAGAGGAG